CACCTAATCACTCGCCACGTATAGACCTGCGGCGAGTGATCAGATGATCGGTGGGCGTGCACTGGCCCACCGCGCCAAGATTGAGCCTTAATAGGTCGCCGAGGTCAACTCCTTCGGTGCCAATTGCGCTTCAGTCCGCACCCAGGAGGTCCGCGGGTCCCTCAACTAGGTGAATTACTCCTTCTTCGACCTTCATTCTAATCGTGAATTCGTCCTTTAAATAAGAGTTCTATGTGTGATTCCCATACCATCCCTCGAAATGGCTGCCTGCTACCTCTCTACCTGTCAGGTGGGGACAGCGCGCGAAGTGCAGCCCCACCTAACAGGTAGAGAGACAAATACCAACAAAACTCTCTTCCCCTTGAATGAGTTAAATCCTAGGATCTAAATATAATAGATTCAAGATTACAGTGCAACAGGACGCTTCTTTATACACATAATATTCGTTCTGCATGTATGTCATCGTGGGAGATGGATGAGAAAAAAAGCGACGAACTTTGAGACTGTAACCAACCAGTTTCTCTGGATGACGGAGGCGTTTTTCGACGTTTGTGTTAAGTGTTTCGTATTTGCCTCAGAGCAGAGCATGTAATTGCGAATTTCGCAAAACCTGAATTTTGCTACGCTACTGCACAAACGGAGTACTGTGAAATGTGCGTGCTCCGGGTGTTGGGAACTCCCGTGCTCATGAATGCTTTCATCTGAACTAGATCAGTGTTATCCTAAACCTGGGCAATGCATAGGCTACGACAGTAAAGGTGCTTATCTGCGAGCAAGGATATGCATGTAGACAGTGTGACACATTGAAGGCCAATAATGAGAACGTTTGACAGGAAACTTACACCGATGCCTATGATCTACATACGTTTATGATTTCTGACGACGTAAAGTTGAGCGAACTACAAAAGATTATAAATGTGTTTCTGTTATATCAGAAAAGACAGTGATCGAATTATGAGCATTTGTTCAAGATGGAAATAAAATTTGTCAAAATAGTAACAGCTCAGGTGTTAGGGAAAATACGCACAGGAGCTTGTACGACTGAAGTGTGAGCTAACCACGTCTCACAATTTCCAGGTATCCTTGAGAAAGATATCCCACATGAGTTTGCAATCGTTTTTGCTGCTATGGGTGTGAACATGGCAACACAGCCAGTTTTTCAAGCAAGTTTTGACCAGAACGAGGCGTTCAATATCAATGAAAATTGTAGAGTTGTCCTCTGCAAGGTTCAGAAACTTTGCTTCCGCCCTGCAAAAATCTCTTATTCGGCTTTACCGTGCGAGAATCGGTACTTTTTTGTCGCCTGATTCTGAAACCGTCATTTCGTCGATCCTCAATGGGAAACTAGATTCATTGGTGACTTTTTGCATCGACAGCAACACTTAAGGTTTCCAGGGAACCGGAATCCGTTTATCTCGTATTTTGCAGGACGACTTGCAGAATGTGTTGTATGTATCTGAAACGGGCAACGTGACCGACATCGATGCGAGGTGCTCACCACGAATTGCTCTTACAGCGGCTGAGTTCCTCGCTTACCAATGTGGACGGCACGTGGTTGTTGTTATGACAGACATGACCGCGTATGCTGAAGCACTTCGAGTGGTATGCTATCCTTTAATTCTGTGAACAAGATAAAATCCTTTTAGGTCACTGCGTGCCGCAAGGGAGCTCGGAGAGGACGATGAACTGCTTCTTCGAAAGATTTTTTTGCATGACCTAGGAAACCTGACATGGACAAAAAGATAGTACATTTCTGGCGCAGCCTTCAACAACCAAACGCGAGAAGGAGAGAAAAATGAGTGTTTTTGGCTGCGGTTCTCACAGCATTTGATGGCATCCTGTAGCGAGAGATTTTCTACACATTTGAAGGTTTCTGTAAAGAAGATATCAAGAGGTCTTAAAACCAGGAGGGTATTTCAATGGAATATACTGAGAAAGTGTAAAGGTTTCACGGGCACTGTAGTTACTAGTACGGCCGCAGTGTACTATGGTTCTTGGGGACATCGTGATGAACTCGCAATGTCATGGGGAGGAAGGGTATGTGGTTTTACTCCGCTCGACGGGCAATTTTATTTCTGACTGCCGCCTTCACGTCGGCGCCATATAGGTTTTACCCCTAGAAGAGTGGATTTTTGAAATGAATGATATTATTATTGGCCTGATCTTTGGAAGGATCCATTTGTATACCTGAATACCTTGTATTGCATGAGCTCTAGATGGGATTGTAAAGTGCATTATATATATGCATGCATTATGTATATGCATATGTTTATAACGCCGCAAAAGGCAAACGTGAGACAGAACTTCATCAAACATTTCGGCCATCAAGCGCGAATTACACAAGCAGTTCAATGTATCATTTCACAAATGGTAACTAATAAACATACGAATATCAGAAGCATTGAACATTATAGAAATGGTAGATGATTAGCGATGAAACTCAAATAACTAGGATGTGTTATACGTTGAATGTTTGGCTGTCTTCTGATGTTTGCATGGTTTCAGCGAACTGGGTAAAAATATGTTCTTCGTCATTCTCATATATATGTGCTCGAACTCTGAATATAAAGCTACTACTTCTCAGTTCTTATCTTGACCAAGAGGATCTTTGTTTGCCCACCTCTGGTACGCGAACGTACAGCTTTGTAGGAATCTAAAGAACAGGAGCCATGTGATTGGTGCAAAAGCTTACAAAAACCATGCAAATGTCAAATAATATGTGCCGTGACTGAAAGATCGAAACTTTCAGCCGTGTTTCTTGCTGGACTATATTGATCTACTACTGACGAGGAATGGTCAATTGGATCAGTCCGGCCAGTTTGAAATGGGATGTAGTCCAAGCGCCTTCGCGACGCTGAGCTCAAATCCTGTTTTCGTTATCTGCGGAACGAATTCTTCGAAAGAAGTTACGAGGGATCTTCGGAAGATGTTACGAGGGATTCTTCTCTTTGTGGCTTTCCACTGTGGCACCCTCTACATCACCCTAGATCTTTCTTTATTTCCTGTGCAAACTGCGAAAAGCTGTTTTGTTTTGATCACCATGTGAAGAACTATCACATATGCTCACAAGTTATTGAAATTTTGTATATTTACGAGCCTGTGTCCTTGTGTTTTGTCCCGTGTGTCAAAGTTCATCATAATAGAAAACCTAAAAAGAAGGACGAGAGGAAAATTCCAAAGTCTGTCTCAGCCACATGTCAAGTGGGGACGCAAATCAACAAAATAACCAAATATAGACACTTTCTGGGCTCGTATGAGAAGCCATGAAAAAATGCAAAAACCTTGCGGTCCTCAAGGATTCGATCATGTGATCATCTCCTATGAGCTTAGAGATATCCCTAGACCACCCCGCCAAACATTTCATTGCGTTCTGGTTCTTTTTATGCGAACAGTGGTGGATAGGGGAATGTAGAGTGAGCCACAGT